TTATTTGTTCTTGCACCTGACCAAAAAACAAAGAATGTCGTTTACCACAAGGTGCTTGAATAAAAATCCGATTGATAAATTAATCAGACTGTATCCCAACCTGAACAACATAGCTTACAACAATTTTTTACCTAGAAATAATGGATAGGGCAATGCAACGTTTCCCGGGCCAACTAGTCAGCTATAAAATTATTTCTCCTACATCTTTAAAACTAGATTCTCAAAATTTAAAATATATATTAAGATGCATTTTATGCAATTTCATATTTGTAAAAGGCGTATTTCAAATACTTGAGACTTGTGTTCGGAATAAACACATATAAACGATTTGATTACGTTCTGAAAGTTTCAATGCGTCTAGAAATTAAATTATTCAACAAATAAATTCTTATAATATTGCGAACAGAGCAGCGCAACCAAAGCACAAGTCTATAGTATTTGAAATAAACTTTTTACAAGTATAATGGTGAGGGTTGGATATAGGGGTGGGGGGTAAATTTGAACAAAAATCGAAATTGTATAAAATTCATTTTAATATATTTTTTAAATTTGGAAACTCTAGCTTTAAAGATGTATGAGATATAATTTTATAAATGATTTTAGATAAGGTTTTTTTTATCGATAACCCTATATCCACCCCCTCGACCTCATATTTGTAAAAGACGTATTTCAAATATTAGAGACTTCCAATACTATAGACTTAAAATACTAGAAACCCTGTGTGTATGTGTGTGGGGGTTGTTATTGAAATATCAGTTGCTTAAAGGGTTCAGGGCATCTCGTAGTCGAGCAGTCTCGACTAGAGCTTTCTTACTTGTACTTTTTGAATAATTGTAATAGAAATCAAAGAATACAAGCACAGCAAAAGTCAATAAACTAAAGGAGATTACAAACTGGGAAGTGGTTAGAACCAAAGCTAAGAAATGAATGAAGGAAACAATCCCCACTCTAGTTTTGAAGGGTTGTGTCAGAGGGAAATGCCAACGGGAGTTATGGAGGTGTTGGATTTTGAGTATGCAGCTTGTTGTTTTTGTACTTACCGCATGCTCGCCTGTAGGCGCCAACACAGCACTAAATATGCTAAAATCATTTATTTCTGTGAGTGCTTACAGATGGCAGAGCTGATGCATCAGATGCGTGATCCGGCGCACACACTTGGCGGCTCGGTGGGCAGCATACCACAAACATTGACTGCTGGAGCTAGCGGCAGTGTCCATGGTTCACTGAATGGTATACATACCACGCCGGCGACGAATTTAAAGATGAGCGAGGTGCTGCGTAGTGCCCAACACGATGCTAGTCCCAATCTAGTAAGCTCCCAAATGAAATCATCAAAGTCGTATACTCATGGGCTGAGCAACTCATCGGGCACTGTAAACATTCCCACATCCACGTCGGCACAAAGTAATCTATCGCTACTGGCGGACATTTCACCGAATCACACGCACTTCTTTGAAGTCATGTATGTGGGCAAGATACGCGTCTCACAGAAGCGAGTCCCCAACACCTTTATTGATGACGCCCTGCCCAAATTTAAGGCCTACGATGCGCAACGTTTGCGAATCATGCAAAATCGCAAGATGTCTCTGAACAGTGAAGGTGGTGTTGGAATTGAACCCAAGAGTGGAGGCAGGACTTTAAAAAATCACGAGCTTAAGGAGGAGGAAGAGGAGGAGATAGAAGCACCGCCAAAGCCACAGGTTGAACTCCAGTTGACGGGCGTCGAAGTGGATGCCATACCACAGCCATTAGATTCCAACAAAGAGAACAAATCGCCAGCTAAACGCGGCTTGCAGCGCGGTCATAGTCAACTGGAGCTGGGCCAAAAACAGGTGTAAGTGTAGTTGATTAAACAATTATAATCTGTAGCTTCTGTACCCATTTTACAATGACTAAAAACTGATTGTAAATCTAAACAAAATGTAAGCAGCGCGGTAGAGGATTCTAGTCAGCAAAAGGAGGCACCCAATGCTACTTTAGACAAACAGCCCACAGAGTCGAAAGATCGGGATGAGAATTCGGGGTTGGGAACAGCCGTAACAGTAGCTGACTCTAATCAGTTGCATCCACACTACGCGCTGGAGAAGTAAGTGGCGTTTTAGCCCAAAGCGCTCACATATTAAGTTGGCCATTAAATTACCCTTCCTGGACATCGAATGTTGTTGCCTGATAGTATATGTTTGCCTATGTTTATTGTTTCGTTATGTTTTTCCACATATTTGCATGGCATGCTTTCCAAATAATACGCATATCAAATAGATAGTTGGCTTATTTTGTGCTTCAAATTCGTATTGCAGCATCCCTAAGATGAGAGATCGTTCTGCTTCGCAGGGCTGCATACCACCCTATGCCGAACAGAATCGCACGATGGTCTTTTTGGTGGGTCGCAGCGACTTGAGACTTATCTCACCGGATCGCAAGCAGGTGCTGCTCTACAAGGACTTCAAAGATGTGGCCAGCTGTGTGCACGGCCAGAAAGCGCTGGATCACTTCGGCATCATCTGCCGTGAGCTGAACAGCGAAGGCTACATTGGTTACGTGTTTAAGTGCCAGTCAGAGCACGTATGTGATGACATCGTAGCCGCCATTGCTCAAGCCTTTGATACCTGCGCCGAGCAAAAGAAAAAACATGAGACACAGATCTTCAGCTGCGAGCATTGCCCAATGCTCTGGTACCACAAGCTCTGCACCGATGTGGAGGGGCTATCCGAAAAGAAAACGCAGACCGCCATTTGGCGACACATCGCCACGCTGAGCGCTGATGAGTACGATATGGTTTGCGCCAAGTACTATGGATCCGAGAAGACAAACTGTTCTGTTTCTGAACAGAACCAGTTCCTTATGATGCTGTTACGGGCACATTGCGAGTCGCGGCAGCAACGACATGTACATGATACCGCTGAGAATCGTTCTGAATTTCTAAATCAGTATTTGGGCGGCAGCACCATCTTCATGAAGGCGAAACGCTCACTGACAAACTCATTTGATAACCTTCTCAAACGAAAACCCTCCAAGGACGACATATCCCTGCCACCACACAATTTACATGAAATACGTGAAGGATCTGCAGAGCAACAGGGCAACGAAGGCTCGCTCCCGAGCTTCAGATGTCGAGCGAGCACTGTAGGTGCTAGTCCCAGCAATAAGGCAAGCGCCGATCACCTCAAAAGCCCAATGATGGATATGTAAGTAAATCTGAGATATGTTAACTAGAATACATTAATATTGAGCAGGACGTATACTTAATAAGAATCTTTGCTCGCAGCTTTATTAAAGTGGGCAACAGTCCTAAGGAGGCTGAGACACATCAGGGCTCATGGCGGCAGGCCATACTGAACAGCGTAGTTACTCCGTCCAAGGCTTTGGATTGTGAGATGCCCACCGAATTTCTGTCGCCCATGCGCAAACGTTAGTCTGGTCTAAAAAATATGTCCACTTTTAAATCTGATATTCTTTTGCAGCTGTCAAGCGTGGCAAGCGCGATGCAGCCGAGCTGCGAGAGCTGTGGCGCACGGCCATTAAACAGACGATTATGCTGAACCGCATGGAAACTGAGAATGCCATGCTGCAGGCACGCCAGAATGAAAACGAGCTAAAGCGCATGAAGCTTGACTATGAGGAAATTGTACCATGCGACAAGCAGCTGATCGAACGCTGGGAGCAAATCATTGAGCGAAACTCTATGCAAATTGGCAACAAAAAGGATCCCAAAGTGCTGCGACATGCTATACGTACTGGAGTGCCGCGGTCAAAACGTGGTGACGTGTGGACGTTTTTGGCCGAACAGTATTCGATGAACATGGCTCCAGTGGATACGAAACGATTTCCAAACTACAACACACCATATCAAACGCTGCTTAAACAGTTGACCGAACATCAGCATGCGATATTCATTGACCTGGGGCGCACTTTTCCCAATCATCAGTTTTACAAGGATCCGCTTGGGCTGGGTCAATTGTCGCTGTTTAATCTACTGAAGGCCTACTCAATACTCGATCCAGAACTGGGATACTGCCAAGGTCTTGGTTTTATTTGTGGCGTACTGTTGTTACATGTGCGTGAATCCTTGATGAAGTCGCCTTATACAATGTACTAATATTTATTCTTGTCCCCCAGTGCGATGAAGCCAGCGCTTTTCAGTTGCTGAAGCACCTGATGTTTTGTCGCAATATGCGCACCAAATACCTGCCGGATATGAAAAAGTTTCAGCTGCAGCTGTATCAGCTGTCTCGTCTGGTCAAGGATCATCTACCCGATCTGTATATGTGGCTGGATCAGAACGATGTTTCACCCACTTTATATGCAGCACCGTGGATTCTTACCGTATTCAGTTCACAGTTTCCATTGGGCTTTGTAGCGCGTGTTTTTGATTTGGTTTTCCTTGAATCCTCTGATGTTATTTTTAAGTTTGCTATAGCGTTACTCACTGTGCACAACGAACAGCTGCTGGCACGCAGTAACTTTGAGGACATCATGGATTATTTGAAATCGATGGTGCCTAAAATTGAAGAGCACTGCATGGAGCAAATCATAAAAATTGTGTTTTCGCTGGACATTGGCAAGCAGCTAGCGGAGTACAATGTGGAGTATAACGTGTTGCAGGAGGAAATAACTACAACAAACCATCATCTGGATATGTTGAATAGAGAGAAGTCGCTAAATCAGCATCTTGAGCAGCAGCTGCAGGCGAGTTTTTGAAATTGTAATTTTTGTAAAGTAATAATAGGTTTTTGCCCTTTCAGTTCGCTCAATCATCCATTGCACAGCTGGAGATGACGCGCTCTTCGCAGCAAACGCAAATATCGACACTGCAAACACAGGTGCAGTCGCTGGAGCTGACAATACAAACCCTCGGCCGATACATTGGGCAACTGGTTGAGTACAATCCGGAATTGGAATTGCCCAGCGAGGTGAGACGAATGCTGCAGCAACTAGATGATCTGGAGCGACAACGACGCAAGCCCATATTCGCCGAGCGTAAAATTGGAAAATCTGTTTCGGTCAATAGTCACTTGGGGTTTCCACTAAAGGTGCTCGAAGAGCTGAGCGAAAAAGACGAACATGGTTCGCTCCAAAAGCAGAAGAAGGAGAAGACACCTTTTTTTGAACAACTGCGCCACCAGCAACAGCAACTGCAACAGCAGCGTAACACACACAGTAATGGCCATTCCGAGTTCCCTTATAATTCTGTCTCGCCAACACCACCAACGCGTCCCAATCGGCTGCTGGACAATACCAATGCAAGAAGCGTGATGCAAACGAAACTTAATGAGTTAAAGCTGCCGGAACATGTCGATAAGCTTGTAGCTAATATAAAAAGTCCATTAGAAGTGGACTCTGGCGTTGGCACACCACTGAGTCCACCCAGTACGGCAAGCAGTAACAGCACCATTAGCAACAACAGTGCAGGAAGCATCTTTAGCCGCATGGGATATAAGACCACGCCCACAGCGTTTTCGCCGTTAACCACGCGGCAGAGCTATGAAGGCGCCATTGCAATAACAACAGCTCCCACAGTGGCACCACTCGAAGAAATCTTAACCACAACTGCTGCCATGGGTGTGCAGGATGGCAGGGAGCCTGAGTCGGGCATGCATCCACTTAGTATGGTAGGCGGCGATGTTAATGTTCGTTTCAAAGGCACCACTCAGCTGAAGTCCATACGGCCCATACATCATATGCGAGCGATTACATTGGCAGGCGTGCCGCCGAGCAGCGCGGATCCAACGGTGGAGCTGGAGATACCAGCAACTGGTCCAACAACAGCGGCCACCGGTCGCAGCTAACGCTTCTAATTCATTGACAAGATGCTGCGTGGCCTCTACCGGGAACCTCTCGCTAAGCAGCTTAAATGCCTCATAAAAACAAAAGAAGCTTAACAGTTAACCTCAGTTGCGGCTTAGATGCAATACAAAAAAAAAAAAAAAAAAATACTAAGAGAAATTTCATTATTTTGCATATTGCGCACAAATTGTGGTCATACATAAAAATGTCCGGTCCCGAAATTACCTAAACGTAAATATACATATATAAACAAATATATATATATGAGCTCTATATATACATACATATATACATGGAATTGGAGTAATGCTTTTGCATCAACCATTACATATAGTTTTTGGATAGCGTAAGTTTGCGTGTAAACCAAATAGATGTTTAGGTCACATATATCATCACCTACATATATGGATGACTATAAGCCTATTGTTTAGTGTGTTTAGGTTTTTCTTAATTCATATTCATATTTACTTAATGTGTGTCGAGTTTAATTATCTTTACATGTTTGATTTAATGTTTTTTAGTTTTAGTCAATTAATTATTACAGAAAAGCTTAAATTTGTATTAATAAATAGACGTTTTTTTTTCTATTATATTATTTGCTTTTGTTCCAAAAAGGGAATATATCTAACAGCAAATTGAAAAAATTCAAAAAAAAAATCTTGAGTGTATGTGCTATAGTAGCTATAGTAGCTATATACATTTCGAACCCACTTCCTGCTCTTCGACTTAAGTGTAGTGATTGTTTAAATATACGTTGTTATGTGCAAATAAAAGAACTAAGTTGCTTAGCTGGACGTTTTTCTTACTGTGTCTGGAGCTCTTCTGAAGATAATTTTTTGTTCTGTCGATGGCCTAAATAAATCCAAAAGTAATAAATGGAATAACCATTAATAATCGATATACATGTTTTTTTATTTTATGGCGAGCTTACAGTTGAAGCTGAACTTTACTGGTATAGATATAAATAAAAATGTAGATTTGAAAGATGCATATATATTTAATTTAATATTAATCGGAATTTAATTTTAGTTTTTGTTTTTTATTTTACATACATTTTACATTTATTAACGTATCACAATTTGTGGTTCACAAATCTATGTTATGCATTTCAGTGATTTGAAAAAAAAAAAATCCCCTAAGCTTCGAAAAACTATAGCTTAAAATAAATTCTTTACATTCATACCATATTCTTTTGGATCTATGCAAAACATCACAGTTTTTAGTTAAACTAAATTGAATTTTATTTATATTTTTCTTTATTGTAAAAATACACATTAACAAAAGCAAATTCAGCAACATTTTGTTGGGCTTATGAGCTAGTCAAAATGTAGCTGAATTGGCTTTTGTATGGGGAATGGGATATTAACGCAACGTCCTGGCCATGTCAAACGCTATTTGGAACCCCTTGGCTAAAATCCCTGCTTAAAGCCTGGCTAATCGCGATATTCTCCTATTCGATCAGTCTCGTATGTAACTAATTCTACCTCGATATATACATGTATACACATCATTTTATTGTATATGAAGTCTGCTAAGTGCTAAGGACGTTGCCAACTACTCTTTGAACTCTGGCTTAATGCTACACTCACTCTTCGGCTGATGCACGCTCGCTGCCGCTGCAGCAGCCGCAGCGCCGAAGGCTGTCAAATTATTGAATATGGACTGATTTTGTGGCACGTTCACCATATTGACAGCCGCCGCACCTGGGTACAGGTTTTGATAGAAAAGCGGATTCTGCAGCTGGAAGAGAGCCATCAAATGCGTTAGCTGGAAGTTTGGCGCCGTGGCATCTGCGGCACCTGCTGTAAAGCTGGGCATTATATTAGGGAAGAGCGCACTGCTTAGCATATTGCTGTTGACTGTAGTCTGCAAATGACTCATTAAAGCCGGCTGCGCCGGATTATTGTCCGAGTCATCTAGCTTGAGTCGCTTTGCCTCTGACTGCTCAACATCTGCAGGCAGTTTCTGCAAGAGTGTAAAGAATGTCATAAGTAAAGCGATACGGATTACCAGAATGAATGGACCTACAATTTTCTTGGGCGGCCGACCACGTTTGCGTGCCAAGAAGTGCTCCGCAGATAAGGAGGATAGCGGCGTCGAGGTTGAACTACTGCTGTTCGCATGGGCAGGCTGGTTAACGACAATACTGGATGGCGCCGGTGTGGATTCCTGCGAGGTTCTGTACTCCGACGCATTGTCGTCCTGTTTAGTCTTAAAGTGCTGATACGCCTGTTCGCCGTTCTGGCGATCATGCTTGCGCTTGTGACTGATCATTTGGCTGCTCGAATGCAAGACAAAGTTGCAGTTCTCACGCACGCAATGAATGTGATTGCACACAGTGGAGAACTTGCAGGACTCGAAAGGACACTGTTCAGTTTTCAGTATCTTCTTGAAGCCATCCTGCGTCAGCTGGTAATCTTTCAAATGATACGTCTTGTGCTTGTCTTTTGAACCAGAATAGAATACAGATACAAATATACATAAGACGCAGTTCTTTTAATAAATCTGAGTCGTGTCATACCCATATCAGCCTTATTCTTGAAAGTGTGGTTGCACCCCTCACGACAGCAGTGATAGTGGGATATCTTCTTGCCATAGAAGGGGCAACTCATGATGCGACAATTTTCGTGGGCGCGAAAGCGTCGAAAGCCCTCATTCACAATCTCCGAGTCCTTGCGGTGGAAGTTGGCATGCATCTGCACATCGCTAGTACTCACATAAACCTTGGGGCAGTGCTCATAGACACAATGATAGTGCGTCTGCTTCCAGTTGTAGATGCATCCGTCGCCATATGAGGGCGCACAATCATCCGCCGAGGAGAAACGGGCAAAACCCAGTTTGAGGCTCTCCTTACGCTTCCTGTGCCACTTCAGATGTCGTATGATGTCATCCTTCTTGCTGAGAATTTTTCCCTGACAGGGTTCATCGTAACAGTGGAAATGGTCACGCAGCGCCTCCTGCCGGCAGAGTGGATTCTGACATTCTAAATACGAGGATACCTTGCGTAGATTCTTAAGATTTTCCTCGTTCTGCAGAAACGCGTCAAGACTGCTGGCTGTGGCCAGACTGACAATGCCCCTGCCCTGATCACTCGACGGCGGCGGCGTTAACATCGAATTTTTCTGTCCCTGAGGCGTGTTTAAAGTGCTCTCATTTTCGATGCTGGTGACGACATTGTACGATGAGTCCGCTGGCTGCTTAACGGGTGTGTACTGCATTACATAGAACAGAGACGACGAATTATTAAATAATCATAATACGTACTATGTATATATTTCTAAAAAATCAGACTGCTTGGTGCTAATGCTCAGCAGCAACAGCCATCTGCAGGGCGCAGGCCGAGGCCCACGTGTTGTCCACACAGAAGCTGTTTGTATTCCTTGGAATTGTGGCGTTGTTGTTTACATTAACATGCAAGTGCTACAAAGCTTCATTTAACTGATTTTCTATCAACACAGCACGCTCGAATTACAAACAGCGTGGGAGATTAGAAAAAGCATACAAAAAGCACACATATCAAACCAGAAGGGCAAGAAGAGAATTTAATTTTTTACAAAAAGATGTCCAACCAAATTATATCTAAATTAATTATTGAAAGCTAAGATTCAGCATATATGTATAATTAAACAATATCATGTGCTTTAATAAACCAGTAGTAATATGATTAGGAGAAAATGTATGCCTTAAATGATGGTATTATTGGAATTAGTAAATATTAATGCCCTATGGGTATCAAAATAATAATTAAAGGGAGATCTTTTTCGAGCTCTTAAAATGTGAAAATACTTTGAATTGATTGTTTATGTGTAACATAACACTTACCATGCTAGGCGAGTCGTTGCTGTCAGTAGTGCTCGTACTCTCCAGCGGTTGTATGCCCGATATCTGTAGCAGCTTATTGGTGCTGATACTTGTGCTCGCATCGTTGGTGCTGGTTAACTCCGAGGAGTGGCAGCTGTTCAAGGTAGACAGTGGCTTGTCATCCTCATCTTCGAAATCCTGCTCAGACTTGACGTTGACTGCCGAAAAGACATTAGTAGCTGCTGTTGATGTAAATGGTGCTGCTTCTTGATCATTTGGCGTCGATGTCACTGTGGAGGATTGTAAAAAGTTATTGGTAAGCTGCTCACTTTTCAGAGAACTGGGCGTGTTGGGGGTTAGTAACAGGGTTGTTGGCGCTGTTGTCAGCAATTGTTGCTGCTGCTGATGCTGCTGTTGCAGCATAAAACGCGTTAGTGGATCCAAAGAAAGAGGTAAAGTGCCCAGCAACATTTGCGGCAACTGGTGAGCCAAACCTGGGTTTGTGTTCGTATTGTTGTTAGGTGTTGAGGGAGTTGTTAGTGTTGTAGCATGTTGCTCATATTGTTGTTGTGATAAAGCATTCAAATTACTATTGGGACTACAACTACGGCTACTACTACAGTTCGAGTTTTGCGAAATTTTTCGTTTTTGCGTTCTTGTCTTGTGTTGATACTGCTGTTGCTGTTGCTCTTGCTGTTGTTGCTGGCAAGTGCTGCTGCTGATATCCTCTTTCTGTGTGTGTACTAAGCTGGGCAAAAGTTGTTGTTGCAGTGGCTGCGGTTGCTGTTGCAGTTGCTGATG